CCACACCCACTCCATCCACGCCCACCCAGTAGGCTGCACCCACTCTGGCCACACCCACCCGGCCCTCCCAGGGCAACCGCAGTGCTGATGTGGCCCTCAGTGAAATTGAGTTTGACACCCCTGAGTTATACTATGTATTTTGTGACTATTTTAATGATGACATTATTAGCTACTTAGAACCTTCTGGAATTGGCGGCATATAAATAAAACAAACAGTTGGAACCTATGTCTGGAAAAAGATTTGTTGACTTTGTTTAAAAAGTAAAGCCTCCTAAGGCTCCCAGCCAAAGATGTGTCTTGGTTATTTGGTTGCAGACATTTAATTGCCCAACTGGTTAATATCATCACCTTGCACTGCTTATATTAGCTACATATATTCTATTGCAGATAGTTCTGATCTAATCCTCTCAGGCTGGAATGGGATTATAATAGTTCCCCCATATAAGAAGGGGAAAAATTGAATACTCTGTTAGCTTGCTCTCAATCCTGGGAAAACTCTATGCTAAACATTTAAATGAAAAATTAACCTTGTACGTTGAAGAGTACTTTGTTTTAACAAATACTCAACCTTTTTTTAGAAAAGGCAGATCAACAATCTATCTGTGTTACGTATTATGCTACTTCACAAAAAACCTATTTGCTTTCTTTATAGATTTTAAGGCCTTCTTTGATTCTGTTAATACTTTGTTTCTGTTAATAGACCTAAATCTGGGTTAATGAATTTAGTTCCAGATATACATCTTACTTACTTAATACAGGGATTATATTAAAATAGTCTAATGATGTTAGGCATGAAAGCCAGCTGGGTGACTTTGGGCCAGTCATTCTCTCAGCCGAAGCCACTTCACAGGGTTATTGTGGAGAAAATGGGAGGTATGTTTATCATCTTGAATTGATTAATGATAATAATGCCAGGTCCTTTGGAAAGACTCATTAGGTGGACAAAAGTGCCATGTACAGTCTAAACATCTGACTGACTGTGCAACCATTAATAATAATAATAATGGCTGCAATCCCAAAATATCTGGAGCACCACTTGAACACTATTGGCATTGACAAACTCACCATCATTTGCAAAAAGCAGCTTTATTTGAACAGCTTACATCCTGTGATGTTACCTTTAACACCATCAAATAACATCTGCCTATTCCGGTTCCTGGGGAAGGACTCTATAGGTAGATAGAAATGCCAAATCCAGTCTGAACATCTGGCTAATTGCAATCAACTGTAATAATAGAAGAGAAGGCATAGAAAAATAGAATAAAAGAATAAAATAGAATACAATGAATTGCAAAAGATCACAAAGTAGCAAGATCTCAGAATTAAAGTTCAAGATTAGGGCATAAACTTAACTCTCGTGGTTGTAGTGGTTATCAGCATACTGGGTGACATATCAAACAACATTGGATGATGCTTAGAAAATCTGCATATGGACAAAATTTCCATCTGTCAAGTAGAAAAGGCCACACTGCTTTGATCTGCATACATACTCTGCTGATATATTATGACATCCAAAGTTCTTGGGAACTTGATGCAAATGAAGGCCAACACCAATTTAAAGAATTGGCAACTGTGATTTCATATTTTTGTATATAATAATAATATTAAACAATATCATCTGCCTATCCCTCCTTGGGAAGGACTCATTAAGTGGATAAAAATGCCAAATCTAGTCTAAATATCTGGCTGACTGTGCAACCAGCAATCATAATAACAACAATGGATATTAGGTACAACAGAAGACTGTACTTATAAGCAACATAATAATGAATAAGGATGTGAAACAAGGTTGTATTTTGTCCCCAACACTATTTAATAAGATTCAGTTACTAAACCTCTGAAATAATAAAGTACCGGTGACAGATAATAATTGTTTTCCCTTTTAAGAAGGTTCATGGTCTAACCCAAACTTTACGGATGGACTCTGTGATCAGTTCAAAACGGTTTTATTATTTAATGTTTATTTTATCCTATTTTGATTTTAAAATACCCCCTCCCCAAAATACACACACACACAATGTATGTGTGTGTATATATATATATATATATGTATGTATGTATGTATGTATGTATGTATGTATGTATATGTATATATGTATATATATGTATGTATATGTATGTCCCTAATAGCTGCAAAAATGCAAATCCCGGGCATATTTGTTCAATAACACAACCTTCGATCTCCGGGAGAGGTATAAACCAGTTGTTTATTGCTAAAAAGATATTTAAAAACAATAAAAACAACTATTTACAATGTTAAAAGAAACAACTTAGCTTTCACTGGTCCCCTGATAGATAGATAGATAGATAGATAGATAGATAGATAGATAGATAGATAGATAGATAGATAGATAGATAGATAGATAGATAGATAGATAGATAGATAGATAGATAGATAGATAGATAGATAGATAGACGGATAGACAGACAGACAGACAGACAGACAGACAGACAGACAGACATATATATATATATATATATTGTATGATTACACAAGTGGAGAATGTTAATTATATTTGCATTTTATTTAATCATGCTCTGTCCTGGCAACATCATTGTAGGGCAGTAGTTTTGAAAGCAAAAGCTACTATGAAGGCCTTGTATTGTCCCTTTAGCAATATAGCGTTTTAATGCAGAAATTACATTTCAAATTTTATATGGAGCTCCAATTTGGATTACAGTTGTCAACAATAATATAACCCAACAGCAGATAAAATTGTTAAATGTTCTAAGTTGTGTTCCAAATTCTCTGCTTCTCCTGGAAATTGGGCAGTTCTCTTTGATAATGTAGCTTGGCTAAGAACTATTAAGTTTTGGGTTCAAGCATATGTTTGCGGCCTCTGACCCGACGTGGATCTCGACCATCTCCTTGGTTTACCGAGGGGCTGAGAGAGATGAAACGTCGGAAAAGACGCCTAGAGAGCAGTTGGAGGACCAGCCGAACCGAATCCGATCGAGCACAGGTAAGGATACATCTTAGATCCTACCTTGTGGCGATTAGGGAGGCTAGGACTAACTACTATGCCTCANATGTTTTCAAAAATAAGAAAGGACTGCTGCATGAAATCCCAATTGATTCCTATGTATGTAGTTCAAACAGGTGTCGCAAAAGATTGGTTAGATTGGTATGAATCCTGATTATTTGATTTCCAAGGATAAGACTTCAGCATTTCATAGCATTAAACAATATTATAGGATAAATCAGGACAGGAATTATTGGCAAAGCCTGAAGTTTCTTGTTTACTCATGATTTATGCAATAAGTACACTTTTCAGCTCATGATACATTTTAATAATTTACATGTAAGTAAATAAAAAAAAATTGGCAAAAATGTTCTGTCTCATAGTATTGACCTTGATGCAGTAAATCATATTTTATTGCATTGTGAATTTTCAGTAGGATACTATCTAGCTTATTTTAAAATCAAGGCCAGAACGATACATTTTTAGATTAAAATTGTTAAAATTTTACTCACACATAAAAATCCTAACATTACAAAGGCAATAGCCAAAATTTTAACTAATGGTTATAAAAGCAAGGTCTTTAGTAGCACATTCATTTCTTAAACTCTTTTATCTAACACTAAATTTTAGATTACCTCAGTACTTCGCTATTTGGATCTTTTGGTCAGAAATAAAACTATATAAACAAAATTAGCACTTTGAATTGCATCTAGGAATTAACTGGTAACCAATTCGTGTCCTGCAAAATAGATATGAACACGGTAACTGCTGCCAGCTTATATATGGCCCATTGAATTTTAATTTCTAAATGGTCTTCAAAGGCAATCCCATAATTCAGTTACTAGTGGATCAGTCAACACAGTAACTGAATTTAAGCATATTTGGGGTAAACACATGCCCATCACCCAACAAAAAATAAAAAATAAAAATAATAAAATATAAAAATAATTAAAAATAATAAATTAATTAATTTAAAAGAAAATAAAAAATAAAGAGCCAACTTGATGGACCATTATGTCTTTTCTGCTGTCTGTTTTCAATGTTTCTGTATAGAGTACATTGCAGAAGTCTATCCTTGGTTGATAAGTGCCTGATTTGGTATAGCCATATTCTGTTTGAGGAAAGACTATAACCAGTGCACCAGCTGAAGTAGTAACCATGACCAAGAGGATCTTCTGCTCCCCTTTAAGGAATAGCACCAGAGCTGACAGAACCATCTTGACTAATGTCATGTTAAGTAGTGTGTGTGTGTGTGTGTGTGTGTGAGTTTTACCCTATTCTAGCCATCTAGGACTAGGTCCTGAAAAGCCTGAAAGAAGAATTATATCAAATTCTCAGTGTTTCTTACTGTAAAAGCCAATACCTCTATGTGGGCATGTAAAAATATAATATTTGATATCCATATATCTTTATCACTGTATTATCATTATATTGCCAAAAGGACCAATGTAAGGATTGACAGACTTACATTTACAGTATAAACAAGTAAAATCTCTACGTAGATGAATTAGTGATGTTTGGATAATAATATTCTCTTTCAGATGTTCTATTGGTAAGTAAACAAATAGGCTACATATATATATATAAACAAACAGGTAACCCAATCTCCCTTTGATTTCAGGTAGGTCACTTTTCCAGTTCCTATTTAGCCAAGTCTAGATTTGGCCTTAAGACGAAGGAGAGTTTATTTTTTCATTCTTAAAATACTGTTTAAATTTGGCATTTGCATTTTTACTAATAAAAAGCTTTGTTCCCCTCCCCCCCCCCCAAATAAGTCTCTTCTTTTACTTATACAATTCAGCGACAACTATTTAATAGCAAGAGAATATCAAATGGTCCAACCCACGGAATAACATCAGCCCTTAATTTGTCCTAGATGTAAGGCAGATCACATGACCTCTCCATTGATAATCGTCTAGAACAAATATTCCAGTAATAATAAAAAGTAACAGTTAAATGAAAGTACTAAGTAACACAGATTCCAGGTTTTTCAGTTACTTATGTCAATTTCTCTTTGTTTTTCCTTCTTGCAAACAGGTAATCAGATCCTATCTCTTGGGACTTTGTCAAAGGATCAGATTTATCCATTGAAACTCAAGGGTATTTCCATCTGTTACTCTGCACTCAAATCTGCCTTATGTGGAAATTATGTCAGCTTTGGCGTCTTCAAGTTGTATGGGGACAACCACTTTGACAATGTACTTCAGGCCTTTGTCAAAATGCTGCTTTCAGTATCCCACTGTGACTTGCTAGTAAGAAAATTATTCATCCTGGGAGTCTTTATGCAAATTATGTATTACTACCACAGGCTTAAAATGAAGATAGAGTGGAATCTAGAACATCTTAAGTGCAGTTTGTTTTTGTTTCAACTGCATGCATGCATTAGTAGTTCTTACACATGCAATATTATGTGTAGTTTCATTAACTAGTTATGAATATTTACTTTAAAATATTTATAATATGTCATCAAGATATTCACAGATCACCTACTAAGTGGATAATAATTCACAAACTGGAGTATGATTGTTTTTGACATTGTCAGTTAAACTTGCTGATATGTTGTCAATCAGTATTCCTCTGACATTAATTCCCATGGATTGATTTTAATGAAAATGACAGTCTTACAAACTAGTATCTGACAAATGAGGGGAAACTCTCTTAAGACCGAAACCTTACCACTGGATCAAATAAGCCGTACATCTTGTACAGCACTGATTTTCACCTAGTCTAATAGGAATTACCTTGGTTCTTGTAATTCTCTCTACTTTACTCAAGCAAAATTTTAGGAAAATTAAATACATAAATTCCTTTTTAAAAATCATAATTTTTAATTATTTAACAGATTTAATATATATGTATGTATGTGTGTGTGTGTGTAAGTAATATAGATTATATTAGTAATCATTTCTTTGCATCAAGGTTTCCCAAGGTAAACACTAAAGCAGCATTGGATGCCATGTTTGTTTGATTGTATGTCCCAAAAGCAGTTCCCAAACAGATGAGAAATAATGACAATATTATTAAACGAGATATACAAACATCAGAAATGGGAAATGCAATCAAAAGAAAAGGGTGTTGTTACATTTTTTTTTTACATTTTTCTTCTCCCCTTCATCTGAGTTGCATTATGCTTGTGATTAATTGCATGATTGTCTACACTTTAATTCTCCTGTTAGGGAGTCTTACTGTCTTCAGCTGAAAGAAAAACAAAGCATGAAAATAATAAACTTTCACAGTTGGCAGGGTGACTGTGAGAAAAGTATTTAGAACTATTGGATTTTTTACATAGAAATATCAACATAGCTTGGCAAAGAACAGCAGAAGTCACAGAGAATATATTTGGGGAAGGACATGCAAAATAGGCAGCACAGTACAAACAGATAAGCTTTAGTAAGCAGCTGTGAATCTTTTATTCAATATTAATTTAATTTCCATTTTCATAATGTTGAGGGCTCCAGTTCAATTATTGCAAAATATTTGACCTGATCAGTTTTTATATTTCTTAAGCTGAAGTAATATTTTCAGAATTAGAAGGCAAATTTTTTATTAAGTTTAGTTTGCCTTGGATTTTATTACTAATCAAAAATCTTAAAATAGGAAGGTTTTTTTTCTTATTTTACAACTGAAGACAGTGCAGATCTGAATAGACAGTTGGGTATTGTACATTTTCAGTAGCATCCAAAAACATGCACGTTCTTGCAGAATGTAAGCTGATTTGAATAGTTAAAATATTTCAAAATTATTTGCACGTTCTTGCAGAATGTAAGCTGATTTGAATAGTTAAAATATTTCAAAATTATTTGCATCAACTTGTAAATTTTAAGATAAAATGTTCAAAGAGTTGCTAAAAGGAACATCTGGAATGGACATAGTGATGCGCAGAGCTCTCAGTAGCAAAGAGAACTCTTTAACTGTTACACTAGGCACAGTTACAGATTCACTAGGTTGATACAGTAAAGGGAACATCTTCCTTCCCCCTCTTAAATTCCAATTTAGAAACCCTGCATGGTTTTCCTTTCTGTTTCATATAATAATGCACCTGCAGAGATCCATGGCTATACACCATGTAGGTTGCAGAAAAAAATGGATGAATAGTATCAGGATTATGTTTGGTCTGTTCTGCCTAGAATATAATATATTTCTTTTAATTTCTTTTAAGAAGAGACTGGACAGCCATTTGTCTGAAATGGTATAGGGTTTCCTGCCTGAGCAGGGGTTGGACTAAATGACCTCCAAGGTCCCTTCCAACATCATCATTATCATCATCATCATTATTATTATTATTAAAATACAGTAGATGATATTGAATATGGTAAAACTGTTTCATTACAATAAATTTTTTTACTAAGCCGTGTAATTTCTTATTGCATCATATTCTCTCTTTCTCTTCTATCCCAAGCAATATAGAAAATTGAGTCAATCTTATTACCCACTTTTGGAGTCTCTAGCTCAGGATCATATGAGTTTCATCACCAGCTTAGAGCCACATGTACTAATGTATATATTTACATCGATATCTGAAGGACTAACTGCACTTGGTAAGTACACAAAAGAAATAAACTAAGGAAGAATGTAAAATGATTCTAAAGCAGACAAAAGTAATGTGGCCACAAATCATTAGGTATTTGATTTAATTACTATAACAGTGCAACACATAATTGTTTATTCATGAGACTTATAAGACTAAATAGTCCTGTGTTCAGAAGGCTACATTTACAGACTAGTAGAGTAGACATGGGCATGATCTTTAGCCAAAAAAAAAGAGTCTAAAAATTTGTTATTCAATAATATTCTTTATTCTTTCGAATGTATTCAAATGAAAGCACTCTCTTTTCGATGGAAGCTAAACAAAGGGGATATTACTTTGAAAATGTATTTGTTAAAAAATTGTTTTATGGTTCATGTAGAATTTTACACTTTCCTAATGTATTTCCAAACATTTGAAAAATGTAAACCACAACATGAATCATAAAACATTTTTACATTCCAATTACTTACAACATAATGCTCCATAACTACACAAGAACTACACAACATTCTGCAGTCATTGCCAATGAAAAGCCCCTACTCCAGAACACCAATAATAAAGTATGGACTAAAATGCTTTGTTCCTATTATTACTGAGGAAAACTGATCAGATGATTGACAGTAATGTGAATATAGAACTATCCCTAATCAGTTTACTCAAGTTTTCAGTGAAATTATCGACCGAAGATATCAGTATTTTTGAATATGAAAACCGGTTGCTATAAGCCTTGAACTAAAATAATCCACTCATAATAGATTAAAGTCTTTAAGCAAAAAAGTATCTTTAAAAGCCTATATTATTCTCAGTACTGATTAAAGAAAACCAATATACATTTTATATATAGATATGGAGGTAGATATGCATGCATGCACACATAACATGCATATGCATAAACAAACAAACACACACACCAATCAGTTTATGAAGGATATCAGTCAATGTAATTTTTTCTGTCCTCCCAAGTGATGGTGCTTGCCCTCAAAAATCAATTCCATCACTTTTCTCAGTGACATTTTCTTACACTTTTCTACTTCTTTTGTCAGAAAGACCTCTACCATTTTTATCTCCTAAATCCTTAGATTAAGCTTGTCACCATTGCTACAATGTTTCAATGTGGAAACAATCCACAAAATAGCCGTTTCAGATTCTCCATTAAAATAATAGGTGAGCCGGGATTGAATTATGGGCTTTCTGATCCAAGTGCAATTCTCTATAAAATAGCTCCATATTTTATGTAAACATAAAATAACAGTTCCTATTACTATGGTATTGCATATTTGGGAGAAATGTAAGTGAGGAAACCAAGTATCACTCTTTTTTTAAATTAACAAACCTGTAAGTACTATTTTTAAAACCTCAAGTCAGAAAGTACTTTAAGTACACAAATAGTAGCTAATACTTTGTGAGTATTAAATACATAATGGCCTTGTGGATGTGCAAATGTTAAAATGCTAATGTAAGAAACAGACATCCTAAGTTTATTTAAAAAGAAGAGATGAAGATAACAGTTAGTCAGCGTCTGTCATTTTTAAAAGTAATTTTTCTGGTATTTCCTTTTTTAACAAGGTTTTGTTGTTCTATCCCCTTGCGTCACCGAAATGTTTGACATAGAATACAGTAACATGAATTAAACAGTAGAAAAAAAGATATGAAAATCTATATCTTAAAACCTTTTTAAAAGAAATTGTGAATGGCAATATCATGGCCATCATAGTTCTGGACAATGAATGCATTGATGGATTGATTTCTTTATCACGTTTCTATAGCCGCCTATCTAATGTAGAGACTCTGGGTGGTGAACATGCAAAGTCAGTGAGGGAAATCAGATTCATTTAAAGACCACATGATTTACTTAATAACTGAAGTGATTTGCTCAAAAAAAGGTCACCAAAAAGGATCATAAAATGGGGCAAAACTTACTTAACAACTGCCTTGTTTTTGTAAAAGGAAACAGGTAAGAGATCATTTCACTTAAATCATTTCCCTTCATCATAAACAAAGCAAAGCTCTTAAATTATGTCATGCATAATAGTTATTGTCACTTGCCAAATAACTCTTCCACATACATTCATAAAATGCCCAAGTAATTTTTTTAGATAGCAACGCCTTGGTTCTCATGTAAAGAGAAATTTGTTGAAATATATAAATTCCAAGCTAGGCATCATTCCCCTCTTTCTTGCTGGTTTCTCCAACAGCAATAATTGTCATTCTTCCCCTTCTTCTGTATTTTCCTCCCTTTTAATCTGCTTGTTTACCTAACTTGAGTAAAATGCAATAAGGATTCTGTTCAGCTACAGCAAATGACTCTGTGTCCATTAAAATCAGAATAGGGGTCTTGCATAACATCTTCCCCTGTTAGACTCATACAGTGAGAAAAAAATGAATGTCACAAGCATCTTTGATATAAAGTTATGGGAAAATATAAGTACCTCTTAATACTTAAATTGCATCCTCATGAACAGATAAACCTCTCCACTGTGCTGCTAAGATCACTTAAAGAAGAAAATAAATATCAGCTTGTCTGATATCAGCATGTTTAGAGAGTTTTTAAATGGACGTTAGTGATTTACTTTGTGTTATTCAATTTTCAAACAAATAGTCAAAGTACTGCAAAACATACTTATGAAATATGCATTCCTAGATACCTTTCAAAGTGTCCATTGCTTTCCTATGTGACCAAAGGGAAAGAAACTTGTAAGGAAATCATAATGGATCAGATCCTTTTTAATATGCACTCACCACTGAGAGTGAGTGGGTGGCCGTGTACATTTTCTTAGATAAATAAATAATTCTTCTGTGTGAAAGTTTCAGTACAGTATCTTTAATTATGTACTGCAATATATTTGTGAAATGTTGGAAAAGAATCAGTGATATCCCTATGAAACATTTAATCTTGAACAACTATGACAGCCACCATCTCCTTTTTGGAATCAGATTAGATTAGATAGGGCTATTTGATATTGTCCTGTCTCCTCCCCCGCCTGTTTGAATAATGATTCGACTTTAGCGCAAAGCAAAGTCAAGCTCTTCTATGTAAATGAATTCTAATAAATAAAGAAGTGGACAATTACAATTGATCACATTATTGAATACTTAAAACATTTAACTCTTGGGCAAAATACACAATTGAGCATTTATAAATATTAAATCATGCTCTTTAGAGAGAGAATTGCTGTAGGAAATCTTTACTTGGACTTCCTTTCTTTAAACATCCAGAGTAACTATCACCTCAGTATTTCCTACAAAAGCAATACATATATTGTAGATGGGGACACAAGCAATTACTGAGACCAACCATGAATTCTTTTTCTCACATTTTTCTAATACATTACCTTATCTTTTTGATATGCTGTGCAACACATATTCCAAGGCCTAGTGCCTTGATTCCCACAACAAGCATAGAATTAATATGCAACTTTTTGATACCAGATGTTTAGCATTTTATATTTTGCTTTTTGCAATATTCTGAATTGATGCTGGTATCTCTACATTTAAAAACATAGCCAAATCCATCTAACTATTAAGAAAGACAAATGTTATGAATTTGTCCTTATTAGTTTTGTGTAATAATTGAATTGGATAATCACATATGTCATTCCAAGCAGCACGGTATAGAAAAGACATGTTGTGGGCTATTTTGAAAATGATTGGAGTGGATGTATTTTACAGATGAAGAAACCAGAGACAAATATTTGCTTCCAGTGGAAATGGGGATTGTCAGAAATTCAGAGGAATGTTTCATACGTGGTAAAATGAAGAGAGTCTTGAGACTAATTGTGGTTAAATTGTCTGCAAAATCTTTCTTAACTTCCCAGGAGAACTTAGCTTAGGAAAAAAATATTGCAGTGATGTTGAAAGAGAAGTAAACTTCAAAACAACATTTAGAAACCAGAACTGGCACAGATCAACATTCTGTGCCTAGAGGGAAGTTTTCAAATACTTCCTGCAATATTGGCAAGCTTCCACTTATTGCAGTTTAGGGGGATACACTTAATTGAGTCTATCATATACCTTACAATTCTCCTTCAAATAAGCAGTATTTTAACAGTAATGCTTGTGCACATGTATATGTCATTCACAAATAAAGAATCCAAAATCAGTAATATAATATCTGAAAATAATCTATATTTGCATTAATGGTGGCTGTGGTTTTGCCCTTGTTTAGAAGCTGAATAAACCCCTAAATATTGGTAATTACACAATCAGTATTTTTTTGCACAATCAGTTTTTTTCTTCTCACAGATAGGTGCATAAACTATACCCACTAGTATAAAAGAATGACTGCTCCTAAAACTGACAACAGAAATAATACTTTAGAAATCTGTGATGTATTTAAAGAAGTTTGTATGTTCCAAGAATGACAAATGGGGTGAGATTGGTGAATCTGTAAGCAGTGAATAGCTAGATCAGTGATGGCGAACCTTTTAGAGACCGAATGCCCAAAAACTGGCCCCGCCCCCGCTCTGCCCCACCCTGCCTGCCCGCAGGGCCACTCACCGCCTCCAGGGCCCACCGCAGATCACCCAGGCAGCCCAGCAGCGCTATGGCGGGCACGTCCTCTGCCCATGCCCCGCAGCATCAACTGTGCGTGTTGGGGCGTGAGGGCAGAGTCTTGTCTACGCTGCCTGGCTGCCATGTCCTTGGCTGCGCTGCTCCGCGTGGGCCACGCTCGGGGTGACTCTCCTCCAGGGGGGCTGCTGGTGGGGTTGTGGGCGGAGGCAAGGCTGGGGCAACGGCATGTGTGCCCACAGAGAGTGCTCCAAGTGCCACCTCTGGCACCCGTGCCATAGGTTCGCCACCACTGAGCTAGATGATTGCAAACTTGTTGCAGCCAATCACTTCCTAATAAGTAAAAAGAAACATGCACAGTTTGAATGTCATATATTGAAATAACATGATACAACATGTTTGTGGTTCACACATGTATTGTATCAAAACTACTAGATGAGATGAATATAAATATAATCAATATTCCCTTAAAATTGTCAAATATATTGAGTAATTATGGATTTTGAGATTGATCTCTATTACACATTCACAGTTATTTTGCTGTTACAGTATGCAAAGAATAGCTGCCTGTTACCTTTTAAACAGTAAATTATTAAACAGGTATTTATAATCTTTTGCTTTAAATATAGCAAGTAGAGGGGGTCCTTTGCTCTGTTTTATTTCTCACTAGTTTTTTTTAATATATCTTTTATTTGTATTTTCATTACATACAAATATAAAAATTAAACCATATAAGTTACATATTTATGGGGGGACAGTTGGGTTTTGTTTGCTTTGCTTTTAATTTCTTGAAGAAGGAGGGTTGGCTAATCTTTTTGTTTCCCAATATTTATGTCATCTGGATATTTAGTTTTCCATATAAATGCAGATTTATACTGTGATTTCTCTCCAGATTGTATTAAAGTTTTGCCTTGGTGGCGCAGTAGTTAGAATGCAGAATTGCAGGCTACTTCTGCTGACTCTTGGCTGCCAGCAGTTTGGCAGTTCGAATCTCACAGGCTCAAGGTTGATTCAGCTTCCCATCCTTCCGAGGTCGGTAAAATGAGGACCCGGATTGTTGGGGAAAATAAGCTGACTCTGTAAACTGCTTAGAGAGGGCTGTAAAGCACTGTGAAGCGATATATAAGTGCTATTGCTATTTTAATATTTATGATGGTAGAGAAATTTGGGTCGCTTCTCCAGTGTTGGTACTGAAACGTATCTGTGAATGCCACAGGTATTTAATCTATGTATGTATTTTTATTCTGTCCATGCCAGTGGTTTTTCAGATTAAAACTGCAAAAACAATACATTTTTTCCTTATTCCCCAAGTACAAACTCTTCAGAATTCATAATTTCATAGCAATAAGGAAACAGTTGGATTCCTTGAATTTGTAACAGCCAGCAGGAGTGCGTAAAAACCAGGCAGAACAGCAGCCAGTAGGGTGTAAAAGCTTTCTCTGTGCTGCAGAAGAGTGAAAGATAAGGGATTGTCATAGGGAAATCTACTTGGAATATGTTATAACAACGGAGTAAGAGCAATAGTCCCATCTACCCTTATTATAGTTCTGTAATCCCGTTTCAATGTATGTCGTTGATAGAGAAATTATTTCAGAAATTGTAATACTGTGTTTCTTTTTTTTTCTTTTTCTTTTTTAATGTTCAGATACGATTGTCTCCTCTAGCTGTTGTGCAAGTTTGGACTACATCGTTACCTATCTCTTCAAGCACATAGCAAAAGAAGGAAAGAAACCCCTGAGAATCAGGGAGGTTTCCCAAGATGGGCAAAGATTACTGCATTTCATGCAGCAAAATTCTGAGGTGCTGCAGCAGGTAAACTCAGAATCACTATTTTGCCTTTGTCTTTCTGAACTTTCTTTTCAAAATATATTTTTTTACATTTAATACTACAGTTCTCTAAGTTTTACTACTGCAGTTACTAGTGGCCATTTCAGTCATCTCCACAAGCTTCTGCATTGACCCCCAAAGCGTCTCAGTTGTGTCAGTTCAATGACCCAGGAGTACATAAATGAATTGATGTGATTATAGAATTTTAGAAGCATTTACATACAATGGAATATAACAATGGAATATAGTCAGTGAAAATGTCAACAGTGAGTACTGTAGTGGTGAAAAAAAGCATTGTAAGGACCTGAAAACATTAAAAGAAGCCTTTTTTTTTTGAGACCTTTCTAATTGGGTACATAGCTGCATATTGAATACTGTATAGATTTTTAAAAGCTTTTTGTATATTTCCTATAAGGGGAGAAGTTTAGGCATTTAGAATTCAATTTTGAAAAACGGCTTTGAAGCACACCAGTGCATGAATAAAGTACTTGTCAGTTACTCTTTAAAGCAGACATTTTTTTCCAGGATTGTGAGGGTAAAGCAAAATCTTCCCCTGGAAACAGTTACAGCTGCTTCAATGAGTTGTGAGGGTAAAGCAAAATCTTCCCCTGGAAACAGTTATAGCTGCTTCAGTGAGTTGCCAAGTGCTTTATTATTGCTCTTTCATGCACTGTAGCGGTATTTTGGAGTTGGATCTGAAGCATTGCGCAGTTTATTGGGCATATAGTTGTCAGTTTTTTAAAAAGTCAACTTGTAGCAACAGAAACTGGCATTGTGAGATGTCTTCCAACAAAGACTGGATTGACATTTGTTGGAAATTCTTTAATTTAGATTTCTTCATTGAGCAGGGGTTGGACTGAGTAGCCTAGTGGTGCTTTTAATTTAATGATTCCCTGACAGTAAAGTATTTTTATATTAGCTTGTTTTCAGAATAGTTTTTGCTTGAATAATGAAAATATCATGAAAAATGAAACAGCTGAATTATGCTTCTCTAATACTAGTTGGAGATAGAATGTACCTTCATAAAGGATTTAATGTGCTTCCAAATAACAGACTGGTAAGCACTTTCAGTAGATCCCTGTTAACAAGGATCTCACTGAAATAACTGCTTAAATATATGGATGCAATCAAATCACAGTAACATTAGTTGTAGAGGTCTCATGATCTTCAGTAACCTGAAGATTGTGCTGATTATGAGGTACCAGCAGCAGTGGTTGCCATTTAAGTGTACAAGATTTATCCTTCTTATTTATTGCTGCGATTACTTTGGGTGATCTTTGCCTCCAAATAAAACCAAATGGAGAAGTAATACAACATAATATTTAAGTATGTATAGGACTGTTATTACTATCCTCAGTGATTCATTGCCATCACTGTTTTATATTGCAACTTCCTGGAGTAATCATTCTACTCAAGTAGAAGTTGATGAGAACCTAGAAATGTATTGCACATTTGCCTGTTGCCGAGCATTATAGTCTCGCTCTAAAGTTCAGCTGTGTAATCAGGAAGATCGGGGACGTTGGCCTCAAACCCAGATTTTCCTACATTTGCTGTTCTTATGACCTTAATGTTCTGTTTTGTGTCAATGATACTTTGCAGTCCTAAAATTTATAGCATATGAATAAGCTATGATATGTCTTTATTAGCTTCGCAATCTGTGGAATACATTATATTTAGTTTGAATGTAGGCTTTCAGGTGCTCTTTTAAATATTTATGACCAGTCTCCAGTAGTCAGCATAAATATGATTTGCATTAGCACAAGTCACACTGCATTGAGTGCTTCTGATGTCAACCATTCAGTGTACTAATACCTGACATCATCTCCCGAGGTCATTGCCAATTTTGACCTTTCTCCTTCTGTACAGTTCCTCTACTCTCAGAAGCTCTTTTGAATTGATTTGAAATTTTGACTCTTCCCTTTATGAGGCAGTAAAATTGATAATTATTCAGATGGGAACTGAGTGCTGAGTGAAAAATCAATTCTACCCGCTCTCTGCTGCGTATAAAATTACTTCTGACTCTGCTGGTCTGAACAAATGGGCAAGGTAAAAGCAGCAGGCAGGAATAGTAGAAAGACTTAGCTGGATAAAGCTAATAGCCTAAAGGGATAGCTCTTTGAGATGAGGGAGTGAGCCAGTTGGGGGTGGTTATCAACAATGATGGGACTCATTGATTATATGTTTACATCAGATTTCCATTGGGTTATAAATCAGCCCCTGAATAGAAATAGAACCCTAGGCCTTGCATCTTACCAAAGGGACAGTGAATTAGATTATTCTCATTTTCACACTCAGATGAAAAGTGATCCATTGATTATTCATCGGCAGGCTATTAAACCATAGCTTTAGAGCTGATTTGACTATCATGGAGCCAAATGAACAAGACTGTTGCTTCACAACGAGAGGTTTCAGTTTTCTAGACAGCTGTGTCTTGTAAGTAATGCCTAACCCTATTAAAACAAAAGGGTTATTACAAATTGCTTAACAGTGCTAGAAAACTAGGCCCTAATGACTAATTGTACTGTGAGCTTAAAGAGACTTGTCAGTTCTTTAAAGTGATGCAATGAAGCTAAATATTCTCCCAATTTGTCTGCTTCGATGGAAACACTGTTACATCACGTCTCTTTTTAAAACTGGAAAGATGCATCCCTAAATATTTGCCCATCCTGTGTGTTGAGTTAATTGGGGGAAAGTATATAGGTAGTCCTCAACTTATGATCACAATTGAGCCCAAAATTTATATTGCTAAGTGAGAAATTTGTTAAGTGAGTTTTGCCCCATTTTACGACTTTTCTGGCCACATTTGTTCAGTGAATTACTGCAGCTGTTACATTAGTAACACAGTTTCCTCACTGACTCTGCTTGTCAGAAGGTTGCAAAAGGTGATCACATGACCATGGAACACTGCAATTGTCCTAAATGTGAGTCAGTTGTCAAGCATCTGAATGTAAGTCACGTGATCGTGGGAATGCTGCAACAGTCATAAGTATGAAAAATGGTCATAAGTCACTTTTTTCAGTGCTATTGTAACTTTGAAAGGTCACTAAGTGAACTCTTGTAAGTCCAGGACTACCTGTTATTAAGCATATGAAAATGCATTTTAATACATTTCTAAAGGACAACATTGCTGGATTATCTGTTTAAAGGTATTGCAAAAATTCAAGTTGCAAAATCAAAGATGTCATTGTAACTCAGGTAGAGTCAGAATCAGTTCATTTGGATTAAATAGCTCTGCCCCTTCTTTTAATACCCATTGTTACATCAAGTATATCACCACCTTTTCTACTGACATTTTTTTTACCTTCAGTACTCTACCTCATCCAGCTATTCCTGACTGATTAATAGCAACATAGACATATGGGTAGTATTTCAGTGGGACTAGGGGGAAAGTACTCTTAAACTATAGGGCTTAAAAGCTATTTCAAGTAACTTGGCATAGTCTTGCACTGCTGTTTTGCTGTCCTTTGGGCTGCTGCATTATTGTTGTGTGAGTAGCATGAGATCAATAGCTATGTGTAGTTTGAAATGAGTTGTTACAGTTGGCTCTTTAAAGAGATTGTTGTGGTATAAGGTAAGTTACAGACAAGTCTATCTTAAGCTTTTGCAGCAACAGAAAATCTATGGCAGCCCATTTAAACAACCAATTAACATTCTTCTTATGAGGATGAAAAAGATCTAATAGAATTGAGACAGATGACAAATGTTGATGAGGTTCCTCCACAGTCTTGTGCCAACTGATGGCTAATTTCTGTCCATAAGAAGTTAAGGTAAATCAAAGGAGGAAAGGAAAGTTGGCAATAGGTAGTGATTTAGAATATCTCTTTGCGACTTCACAGTGACTCAGAGGCATAGCATCCTTGGACAGCAAGCCTAGCCACAAAAACATATCGCCTGGGGGAAGCTGGTGGCTTCATGATCCACTTTGCACCTAGCCACACCACCAGATTCCACTTAGTCCTTGCCACTTCCTCTTATTCATTTATTTGTTAGATTTCCTTTCCACCATTCAAGGCAGCATGCTGTGCATAGTTCTCCCTCCATCATTCCCCCCCCGCCCCCCAATAATAAGTAGGCTGGATTGAGAGAGTATACCTGGCTCAAAATCACCTAATGAGCTTCCTAGTCTGAGGGTGGATTTGAAGCTATGATTTCCCAGTCCGCCATTTTCATCCCTGGATCACACTGCGCTCCTCCCCCTCCCCGAAGTAGGTATGCCTCCAGGTATTTCAGAAGTAGATTAGGAAAAAATGTCTAACACCAAAGATGAGCAACGTTGGCAAATAATTGATGAGAAGGTTCAGTGTCTTAAAAGGATCACATAGCAAAAAAAAAATGGAATGTTCAGAAGCATCACTGTTTGGCTCACTTGGTTTATCCAAAAAGCTGATCCTCTGCCACAATCTTGAGTCTAGAAATAATAGTATTGTACATATATTTAGAAGCACTTAAAACATAAAGTGTTATTAAGAATTTTACGCAAAAGTAATTTGTTCAATTTCAACGTAGAATAGCAACTCAAGCAGGGAACACATAGTAGGATTGAAAAATGCATTTTAAGATTCTACCTGATCCAGTCGGCCACTTTTTATTTATTGATGAAATGAAATCTAAATAGAAAACATGTGGGATTGCCGTTACTTGCAGAAATGAAACTATACATTCTCTGTAAATAAATGAAGGAACATACACGCCTATTTGCATAATTTCTAATTTAGTTACATGATTGTCTTTTGTTTTATATTCCTGTCAGTCTCACTTTTAAGGGCTAATGCTGTCTTTTGCACTGCAGTTTGTTTATTCTTTTGTTAAAAATGCTTCGGCTTCTATAAAGATTAAACAAAAGCCAGTGGCTTCCAACTGTTCTTTTTTTTTTTTTTTTTTAAAGCAGCCTTGAATTTTAATTAACTAATGTTTGAGTAGCCTGTATAAGCTATAACTCTTACAAGTTACCTTGTTAATTTTTACTGTGCAATTTAGTAAAAAAG